ACGCAACCAAATAGCCCTCGCCGTTCTCAAGGCATCCAGGACCTCCTCTCCCCTATCCAAAGGCCCTCCACAATGTACCAACGAGCAAAGAATCATCGTCGCGGTCAGAAACAAATGCGTCATACTAGACGTGATCCGCCAATGCATATCATGTAATTGACCCCCTCTGCAAGTCTCCTCGTCGAGGATGTGTTGGATGCGTAGAGCGCCGAGTGATGCGTCGATACAGGCGGTGCGGGAGTATGCGAAATGAGGATTTTCTGAGTGTATCTCACCCGAAGGGATAGTTGCTATGTTGAGGAATCGACGATGGAGCATGATTTGCCCTTTGTATAGGAGATGTTGGAGAAACAGTCGGGACATGATCACCTGCGAGTAATCGGTTATGCTCGCTTGTAGGGGTTTGAAGCGGAGAGGAGGAGGGATGTTAGAGACGGCGTCGTGGAGGGTCTTATCCGCTTGCATTACTTCTGCGTAGCTTGTTGGTTGGACTGCGTCTGCTAGGTTGGATATACTTCCTAGGGCTATGAGCATGCGTCTTCGCGCGATGAGTTCCAGTGTAGTGGTGTGTTCTGTTTCTGGTCTGCTGGGGGGTAGTATAGTTAGGGAGGGGGTTAGGTCTGTATCGAAGAGGTTTCGTGGCTCGGCGGTATCCCATTTCCAGTCGGAGATCATTCGAGGCATGCCCATTTGGCTGGATAGGAGGATGTCGCTTGTTAGTACGGTGGTCCATAGACGACGGCGCATTTCGCCTTGCAGTGGGGAGAGATTGGGGAAGTGGCTGGGATCGCGATGGTAGCCCATTCGCATGGCGAGGTTGACTTCGAGGCCGAGTAGGAACCAGATGTTGCGGTTCGCGTCCGGGTTCATTCCGTACTCGATGTATACGTAGTGGACTAGGGTCTCGAGGACGTAGGGGCCGGGTTTGGTGTACTCGCCTATCATGAGGCACTGGACGATCTTTTCCCGGTAGAGTTCGAGTTGGAGGGTTTTTTGCTCTTCTTCGGAGCTGTCGGTTACGTTGGAGGCCATTACCGCTAGGCAGATCATGCTGAAGAGGAGGCCAATCCATACTATTGGCGTGCTTGTGGAGTCGGTCCAGAAGGATTCGTACTATGGTGTTTGTTAGTAACGATTGGAAGAATGGTCGGTGATGTTGTTTGGTTTGTATCAACTGACTTCTTGAAGAAAGCTAGGCCCGTGGACCGCTGCTAATCATCCGGAGTTAGTGATACTGTCGCTAGAGCGGGATATGACAGGGGGTTCTCACCAGAAGCAACCAGATCGAGATAGTTGAAATACTTCGAAATATAGCGGTCAACAGCGGCCTTTGGTGGAAATGCGGCGATAATTTCAGCCCGTGAGGCAGCCCGTTCACATCCGTAGAGCAATAACGCATGTCGGTGGGATGGTTTCACACTCATTTCTTCAATAGAGCCGGCCATTCTGGCTTGTTCTTCACGATCACAATGCGCCTTCAGGTCGGCAATGCTGTCCAGAATGGCCGCCCAGTGCTCACCGGCCACATACTGAAGCTCTGATTCGGTGATTTGCATGCTGCCGCAATCCGACTGTGTATCTAGTACACTACCACCGGGCCCTAGTCGAGTACTGCTGCTGGGAGTGGCATCCGGGGTGGCAAGCTGTCGGACCTCGTCATTGTTGAGTCCGTCGGGCATCAAGGACTTTACGAGACGCTCCAAGTGGACTAGCCGGTCATGGAGTCCAGCGGGTGCTCCAACGGGTGTAGGATGCAATGGGGATGCTAGTGGCTTCCGGGCCACATAGACACATGAGTGACCGCGTGCGACGCAGCTGGTACAGGGCTGTAGTCGATCGCATCGAGACTTGCGCTGGCGGCATGCAATGCACGAAAACTGAGGTTTGTCACGTCGTCGACGAGGTTTAGGAGCGAGAGTCCCGGAAGATGAGGACATTGAGACAAGTGATGAATGGTGAAGCAGATAAAATATTGTTGATGATGGGGAGTCAGCGCGGCCTTAATACTCCTATCAACTAGTAGTCGAAGGACCCGGCACTATCTTAGTTACAGGAAGCAGCCCAATCGGAGGAACATCGCATATACGGAGACACCCTCCGATTAGCTAAAATGAGTGATTCCACGTGTTATGAGGATTCTACAGGAAGGATTCAGTGTAGCATTGAAGCGTGCAATGGTGATCCAATTCAGGTGATGTGATTGTAGAATAACCAAGTTGCATTCTACCCAGGATATCAATACATTTGGCCAAAGAAAAACATGATAATACATTCATTTTCCGTCCTGATATTGTGTTCCAAACTTGATAAGGAATGTAATCATGAAATCAACTTCAAACATTACCGCGCCGACCGTGTCCAGTCCCCAAATCCAATAATACTCGTAAATTGTGGAATCCGTAAAAGCGTTCAATCTCGAAATGGCAACCAATTAACGTAATAATATCATATTAGCCACCTCATTTATGCCTTCGTGCCGTTGCCGTTGCCGTTACCATTGTGATGAAGAACCTTGGACACTTTCTCCTTCAACTGAGTAATGGGGCCGTGATGCTGGTGACCGTTTCCGTTGGCCTTGTTCTTTTGTGCTGCAGCTGCGGCGGCTCCTTCACTGGAACTCTTGCTGGTATCGGGTCCTAATATATGATTAGTCAAACTCAAATCTGTTGGGTGATAAGACAGTGCTTTACTCACCTGATGGTTTCGAGCGGCTGTACCCACGATCTAGGCGCTTCTCAAACTCGTAGGGCTCCCGTGCAGGAGTCTTAGGGCCTTTCAGGGCTTCCTCGCTGACTTTGGTGTTCTTGGGGAGCTTGTCCCCGGTGTCATCTGCGCTCTCTTTGCCTTTCTTCAGGGAGTCAACATCGTCTTCTTCGGTCATTCCTGTGCCGCTGCCTTTCTGGGCAGAGTCAACCGCGGCGCCGCTCTCATCTTGTGTTGACTTGTCCTGATAAACCCGAGCTTCTTTATTAGGCACCTGGCTCCTTGCGTTTACAGAATCTACTCCACTGGGAGTGGACTCGGATGCTGATGGAGTTGACTTGGCTGCGGACAATCTCTCTTGTTGGGTATCCCGTGCCGTATCGATGTTACCATAGGCACTCTGCTTTCCGACAGAGCCCCCCGCCATCGCTGAGCTAGGAGATGTGGTATCCTGCTGCATCGAGCGGGTTCTGACATCGTCATCAGTGACGCTCTGAGCAGCTCCTTGGCCGGTATTGCTCTTCATTCCCTGTTGTCCAATGACGCCCCCAGCCACACCTCCAGCCATGCCTCCAGCAACCGCTTTACTGCCGTACTCATTCTCCTTCTGCATTGATTTGGCTGCGTTATCTGGCATGCGCTGAGTAGATTGTGCAGCGCTTGAAGTCCGTTGGTTTGCCGTATCCTTCTTTATCGATGTAGGAACCCTCACTTGATCTTGCGCATCCATGTCATCCTGGTTCCCTCGTCCAGAATAGGCATAGGCGCCAGCAGGACCGGAGCCTGAAATGTTTGACTTGCTCGAGACTCCCTGATCCCTGGCCGCGGAGACATCTTCACGAAGATCCGTGGTGTCTTGAACTCCTTGTCCAGAATACGCATAGGCGCCTGTAGGACCCGAGACGTTTGACTTGCTTGAGACTCCCTGATCCCTGGACACAGAGGTGTTGTCACGAAGATCAGTGGTGTCCCGGACTCCTTGTCCAGAGTAGGCATACGCGCCGCTAGTGGCTGAGGACGAGCCCGCAGTGTTTCTGCTCTTCTGGGTATACTGGCTTCCCATACCGGAGGTATGGCTTCCTTGACCATAGGTGGAGGTCCGGGTTCGCTGCTCAGGAACGGCAGCTTGAGACTGCCCTTGTTTGATACCAGAGGAAGCACCTCTTATGGGGTAGTTCATCTGCTGACCCTGGGATGGCTCACTGATGAAAACATTCTTGGGGCCGTAGTCGGCATTGCTAGGTGACTTGGGGTTGCGGGCGTGATCAGCATCGGTAGACGCAAGTGGTTCGGGGATGACGGCGGTGTTATCCTTTGTCCTGGGAGCACCAGGTTGTTCTGATTGGTATTAGCTTCACTTGATCATTCAATGGGTTCGTGAATCTTCTGACAGAGCATGAAGTGACTGATGAGGTTCTTACCATCACGGTTTCCGGCATCATAAGGATCGGTGGCAGTTCCTCTGCCTTGGATTCCAGAGAGAGGCTCATCGCCATGCTGCTGGTTTAATTGGCTATCGGGAGTTTGGTTAGGATGGACCTCGTTCCACAGAGCATTCGAGGCGTTGTTGAAGGTTCGATGTATGGTCTCCATGTTTTATATGTGTGGTTGAAATCAATTGTATGATATTTGAATGAAGTGTAAGCTTAAACTACTTCAGAGGTGCCGGACGCCTCGTTTATGAATGTATGGAGGCGATAATCAAAGAACCTTGTGTCGTCAGAGCTGTGGGTGGGATTGCAAAAAGGCTGGTTAATCTGCGGGATGCGGTTTTTCTAGAAAGGCAAGAGAATAGCAATACATTATAGTACGTCAGTGGCATGAGGCGAAAGCAGCGCAAACAGACAAGCATATGAGGAGCGCATAGTGTCGATCGCAGAACCCGCGATGTCATCACTCCATCCCGTGACGTCAAGGAACGTCACCTGTCACGTGGGGAACACTGGACCGACCAACTGGCACCGACAATGCAAGAGATGGAGCAGCAGAGCAAAGTCAATTAGAATTCTATGGACAAAGAGAGAGACCCTTGGGGGCTGCACAATTGGAACGGTGACTCGTAGATACTTAGTCTCCCTCATTCGAACGCCACCACAAAATGCACACCAGAAGCAAGCAAATAATGAAAACACACTATGAAATATTCGCAGTAAGAACGCAATACCCCAATATCAGTGCCAAATCTGAATCATCCTGACCTTCGCGCAGAAGCAACTGCGAAGGTCTCGTAGCCGAATATGGACGCCTCTGTCGATCTCAAAGTATGTATGTATCGGGTAAGAGAGCCACGGAACCGGTCAGGCTTGTTTGCTCGTCTCCGCGGCATTCTTCGCCTCTGGGTTCAAAGGCTGTTTGGGATCGTATCCCACACTTTTCACAACCCCTAGTCCCTTGGTCTTTCCCTCCCGGAAAAGCACTCGATCCCCGGGGGCCAAGAATTCGGGACGCTGTACAAATCTGAATGCAACCAAAGCGCGGTCACCGCCCCGAATGAAGGGACGATCGATGTCAATGACGGAGCATGTTTGACTTACTGCGCCGACATGCAGCATTGCTTGATACCGAGGCTTGATCGTGGTGGCGTGAGATATGATTAGGACTAATCAATCAGTACAACAGAATGAGTAAAAAGGGAACAACTAGTGGACGCACCCTCAGCGACGAACTCCCTGTAGACTTTCGGGGGCTGGTCCAACTTCTTGAGAACTACCATGCCCTTACGGACCTCCTTCCGTCGGACACGTTTCAAGGCGAAAGAGCCCGACTGGCCTGCAAAACAAGCGTTGACCTGAATACGCTTGCGCTCAATGGACTTGATCGTAGTTGTCGTGAATTGACCGAGAGAGTCAGGCCCAACCAAAACGGCATCGCCAGCGTGTATCACACCCGACTTGGCCACCCCAGACACAACTGTACCCACATGGGGCACGGAGAACGTATCGTTGATGAGGAACTCGAACGGAGCATTCACATTGTATTGGCCGCGGTGAGGAAGGATATTCAGGAACGTCCGCACAAGGTCTAGATTCTCTCCAGTGACATTGGACACCTGGAAGATCGGGCAGATCCGCTGGCTCACAAACTGTGTCGCCGTGTTGATGGTTTCTTCCATGTCCTTCACGAAGATGGGAATCTTACGAGAACCAGGCGACTTAAGAAGTTTGCTGAGCTGGGAAAGGGTCTCCTCCAGAATCTGCGGTGGGCAAATATCGATCTTGGTGACAATTACCATGACCGGCACGTGTAAAGCCACAGCAATACCGAGGTGTTCTTTGCTCATGCCAATGAGGCCATTGTTAGCCGCCACCATGAGTAAACAGTAGTTGGGGCTGCTGCTCAGCATGCCGAAAACCGTAGTCCGCAGGTACCGTTCATGCCCAGCAAGATCAGAGAACGATATTACTTTGGCAGAACGCCTTCCTATATCTTCCCAGGACATCTTCCGCCCATGAGCGCTGCTTACAATGTCACCCCGGCTGTCGAACCCCATTATCTCCATCCCTACCGAGCTGGTCCGACCGCTCTCGATTTCGTGCTTGTGGCGGAACAGATTGAGTCGAGCCTTTCCTCGGCCATCATCCAAGTTTCCCTTGACCAGCACACCCAGCATGGTACTCTTACCTGCGTCAACATTGCCAACTACTGCCATGCGGATCTCAGCCATCTCCTCCACGGTGCCCGCTGGCTGCCGGATCAAGAGCTTGCCCCAAGAGCCTTTTAATCGCTCATGCTTCACGCGCGATTCCTCAGGCCCGCCAACATTGTAGGTAACAAGGATCCGACAGTGAGCAGGAAGGGTTTCCGCCGCTTCCCGCAAGCGCTGTAAGGCTGTATTCCACTGGCTTAGATCAAAGGACATGGAATCCCCGCCATCTTCAAGACCTAGGTCGAAGAGCGTCTCACCATGTCCTTCGTCAATGCGCGTCTGTAGGATGTTGGCCAGGACTTGGATGTCATGGTCTGGCTGTTCACCAGTGCCCAGGAGCAACTCCTTCAACTTGACCGGTTTCGGGGTATCCGTGAGGTCTAGCTGGTCGAGAATATCCAGTTCGGCATGGTCTTCAGATACTGGAGCTGCGCTGGCTGTTTCGTAGCCGCTATCACTGGGCAGATACTGAGCCGATCGCTGGGCCTGTTGCTTTTCAGCGTACTCGGCGAACTCACTGAGGGCCTAAATGTTGGCGACGTGTTAGCGGGAATGCCAGATTGCTTCGCGGGGGGGGATGCGCACAATCTCGCCTCTCCGCCGTTCTTCCAACGAAGGCTTTAATCCAGCCGTCCCCATTTTGATGGCTATATTGGTCGATGATCAAGATAATGGCAAAAGAAAATAGTTCGGAGCAAAGGCACGTTATCGATCTGCGATATGATGCGTCACTCGGTCGGGTGGAAGATGGATCGCCGCTGGCGCGCTCAGACACGTATTCGTGTTATCATACTTTTATCTATAGATACGAGATCAGGTAGGGGAGTAAGAATAACAGAAGAGGATAAAGATGTAGGGAAGGGTCTGGAGCAAATTAGGTGAATGAGAAGGTGGTTTGTGAATGATATTCTAGGAGGGAAGAGATGGACAGCGAGGGTCGGGGAGGGAACCGGGGAAGCTTTATCGATAGGAAAGTGCGAGTCATCGCCGCCTCGTGCGGCCCCCAAGCAAATTATTGAGTCATACGGCTCAGCACAGTCATTCCCTCCATGCAGCTAAGGCTATGCTGGAATGATGATGGTCTTGTCACCGCTACAGTAGTCAATTTTTTATTAACTGTTTTGGGCCAGGTTGCAAACCAGAAACACTGGTCGCTGCTGTTGGTTTCATCGCTACATATGCCAGTATGGCATGATGCCATGAAACCACACGCCTTACACCTTCCTGATGCCTCTATATCTGATATAAGAAAACCTGCAGGCCCAAGCATGACCGAGTACGTGAATACATTAAAAGATAAATTCGTATAGCCTGGAAACCCTGTAACATCGCCTGGTGTCTTCGTGGTCTCGTATTTCGTAGCTTGGGTGAGGGGTGGTCCCAAGAATATCCGATGTGATCCGTCTTCCTACTTATTATTGCCTCCCAAATCTTATGCCTGAGGAGAAATCAAGACGACAGAGTCTCCTATCGCGAAAGGTCAGTATGACAAGCCCCGGGCTCTACCGGGAACGGCATCGCGAAACGCACCTCGAACGAAGAGCATCTCTTCTTGCTTCTTGATGGTCTAAAGACAATCAACCTGCGTTAGCCCAGCTCCGCACTATTATAATACCACCCTAATTGATTGTACTATAACCGAGGTAAATGGATAGAACGACGTACCCGGAGGATCTCTTGCTCGTTCTCATCTTCCTCCACCACGTAGATGGTCTCCTCAACATCTCCTAGCACCAGGTTGCAATGGCTATCGTATGCCTACCCAAAATCATCTGTCAGTAAAAGCCACGTAGCCAGAGGCTGGGGTGCAGGCGTAGGACTCACATGGAGACGGCCCTTGAGCTCGCGATCGCCGCGCAGCTTGACGAAGACGATTTCATCGAGCGACAGGCGCACCAGATCTAAGGGCTCGGAGACGGACGATGTGCCCGCATCCTCGGTGTCGGCCATGTCGAGGTCGAGGGTGGGTGGAAAAGGAGAGACTGAAGCGTTAAGCTAAGCGAACGAAAGGAAGGGGGGAAGGATCCAAGCTGCAGCGTGTACAGCAGACGCGGGACATGGATGGTGAAAAAGGCTACAGAGTCTGACAGGGATCTGGCCCGCCAAGACCACAACAAGCGGCACCTCCTCATTTACTCCGCTTTTATAGTCGCAGCTCGATTCCCCCCGACTTCTGACGGCCTGAACACCACCCCGGCTTTTTCCCTACGTTCTTTCATGTTTCCTGTCCTCAGTTCGCAATGCTGGGGTTTATTCGTACCAGTGAGAGCTTAGGCTCTCATTTGGTGTGTCCTACGTACCGTCGATGTCGATTAACTCACCTACCTCGCTGTTCTCCACTTCTTATACTTCGGGATCCTACGCGCCGCCAACGATCATCCGGATCACATTTACATCTTCGATATCGAAACGACGACAGCAGCAATCATTCTAGGAATAAAGGCTGGTTCGCTAATAGGCATGCTCCACAGCTAGGACGGGGAAGCACGGACATACTGGAACCTGGTCAGGTTGACTTGGGCGATCATGAGATCTCCAATGCACAAGACGACAGAGGGCACGACATTGGGGCTGGTCCCCGGGTCGAGAGCTTTGAGGATGTGAAGAGACATTTCAACGCTATCCTCCGAGATGGCCAACCAGACCAGGTGATGGATGCGATGCTTGATCCTCGCTTTGAGAGCTTGGTTTGCTTGATGCCACCCAGCACCTTTGTTGAAGTCTTCCATCTCCTCTCCCCGGCTTACTTTATCGATCCCTATCGGGAAATCCATCGTCCCATTCATCCGTCGGCTGTTGATGTCAAGCAGTACAAATCACTGGACTCGATTTTCGACGAGTTTGCCAGTAACCTTTCTGCCATCCTGCAGATTAGGTGGGCGGGCGGCCAACCCTTGGGCCTGGCTGAGTACACGCACCTGCTCAATTGTGCACGCTCAATGGGCGATGCTATCATGGCAGACTATATCTGGCAAACAATTAGGGAGGATGGAATGGTGCCAGATTCCCAGTGCTATAATTACTACATGGAGGCGAAAGTCTGGGATAGAGCATATACCGGCTTGGAGAAGTATCGCCTCAGAATGACCCCTTACCTGTATCGGAAGAGGAGATTCTTCGAACCCAACCCCGGATGGCAAGGTTACGGTACGGCTGCCCGAAGTGTGAGAAAAGAAGTGCTGCAGATCTTCAACGAGATGACACAGGAGGGTACCTCGGGGGACACCACCACCTTTGTCAATGTGATCCTTGCGTCAAGCCGAGTTGGCCATATGCAAGGAATCAAGAATGTCCTGCACACCGTCTGGAACATTGACGTCGATGCGCTGCTAGACCAGGTCGATGAGTCGATGCTTCCAGAAGTGACCCCATACGACCGTTCCTCACCGCTGTACCCCACAAACCACCTGCTGTTCGCCGTAGCTCATGCCTTTGGCACCAACAATGACATCCCTGCCGCGCTGCGCACCATAGATTTTATTTCGAACAAATATGACATCCCGGTGCCGGAGAATGTCTGGCTCGAGCTATTTGAGCGATCGTTCGTTTTGTCGCGTCCGAGGTTTGGCCCTGACGCTGAAAGAAATGCGAAGGGCCAGGTTTCATATGACTTCCTCAACTCCATGTTCGAAACAATGACTTCCGAGCCTTTCAACGTGCGTCCAACCATCGAGGTGCACCATATCCTCGCCAAAACTGCATGGGATCGCGCCAGGCTGTCGGAATTCCAGCACCATATGGAAGCTGCGTATAATATTTTAAGGGAGACACGAAAGAAGAGAAGAACTGCGAGGTCGATAATAGAGGCCTATCTGGGACAGGCACAAACGGAAATCCTCAAATCACGAGCCTTTGCAGATGCTGTGCACGCATATGACATTCTGCGCTTGCGCACTATGCAGCAAACCGTTGTCATGGAGCGTCTTGCAAGACTATTGCTGATTCACCATCGTTGGCTGGGTCGTCGGAACCAAGCGTGGGAACGGACCCTTCTTCCGCAGGCACTGGAGGAATGGCGAGACTTTTTGCCAGAGTCCGTGGTATACCATACCCGGGGAGGACTCGTCGAATTCGATGGTGCCACCTCTTGGCGCCAGCGTAATATCAGAACCCATGATAGAGTACCAGTCCGGCGGCCAACCTTCGGAACGAACTTCGAGCTTGATGAAGACGCAAACGATATAGACGACGACATTTTTTGGGATTATTATCGACAATCTGCCCCGCATCTTGATCTGTCCATTCCACCCCTGAGGAGGCTTTTTGAAGCTGTCCACGAAGACAATGTCAGTAGCACTTACGACGACGAAGCTTTCCTGGCGGAAGAACTGGGATACGAAACTGGCGAGTATGAGATCCCTAGAGTTACCGCAAGGACGCCCAGACAAGCGCGCTCTACCACTTGGGGACGCCAAACAAGAGAGGTGGACGATCCTATAACCACAAGTCCGGGTTCTCTCTCATGGGCTTGATTCTAGCCCATATTCGAGCCACTTTGCTTTCTTTCACACTCTTCACCATTTTCTTTTTCTTCTTTTTCTTCTTTTCCTCCTTTTCTATGACTTCGATTGTGACTTTCATCTGCGCATCCGGAAAAGTTAACGATTCGCGGATACCTTCACTCAACCCCGATTTCTTTCTTTCGCTTTTCTTTTCTTCATGTCCTGAAGCGGGATATATGATGAGCTGATCTTTGGCTGTCAGTTATGATACCTCATGTGTGCATGTATTGCCTTACCTGAGCGGATACCCTGTCTATATGACATGTTACATATTGAGCTCTTTTATGCTTTTCGAATATTATCATTATTCTTTTGATTGTGAGAGTATTGTCTTTCAGTAAGCAAAACATTAGTCAGTATCAATCTTTCGAGCCATACTCTTCTCAAGACGACAGGGTGCATACCTATACAGAAATGGGACTTGACGTCTGATTATATACCTCAGACAACGTCAGTTCACCAAGGATCCAATCATAATCATATACATACAATGCGGGTATATGCTACAAAACGTAGGGCACCTATCCAGTCAGTTCACTGAGCCTATAGCTAGGCACCACCACCACCATCATCATATCTTCTCCGCCTTCAGATCATTCACCACCATGTACCGACCAATCGTAATCCAACCCCAGCGGAACCACACCATCTGGCTCTGATGGGCCTTCACCATAGCCGACTGCGCAGTCATCCACTCATTAACAGAACTGACGAACAGAAGCCGCGAAGGAAGCTGGCCCTTAGATCCAGCACCACCACGGCCCAGAACCGAATGCAGCGCGCCCCGAACCATCGTAAACGGCGCATCCAAAACACCGGCGTACTTGCGCAGCAGATTCGTCGTGGTAAGCGTATACAGAGTGACGGGACAGGTATACCCCGATTTATCCTTCATCAGGGACCGCAGGAAATGAACAGCGCCGTAGTACAGAGACCGGTGATTAGGGTGGTTGCTGATACCTCCCTTGTCAAACGTCAAGAGCACGTCGATGGTGGCCGTAGGTGCAGAGTCGGCTTTGTTCGACTTCTTCTTGGAAGAAGAGGTGCTGTCGCTGAGTTCGGGGGCGAAGGCGTGTTCGAGAACAGCTGATACGTCGGACTCGGTCCATTGGACGGACATGCTGTCGCGGAATCGGGTGGGGTCGTCGATGATGTATACGTCGGATTCTTGGCGTAGGCCTAGTTGCAGGGCGCTTTTCACGAGCTCCTTTTTGCGGATGTGGCCCAGGCCGTCGGCGTCTCCTGTTTATGTCGCGGTTTTGTGTTAGTGGGTGTATACTGGGGGAGGGTGGGTGTTTGTTCGATGGTTTATGTGGGTGCTTACCACTGCTGAGACAGAGGATCTTGAGGTGGTTGCCGTACTCCGGTCTGGTCAGGGCCAGGACCGTGGGCGCGAAGAACATGGCCTCATCATCCGGGTGGGCGATCAGGAGACATATTCGCTTGTTGTATAGACGAGGGAATGCACCGCCGAATGGTGAAGACGTGGTGGAGGAGAGTGTCCAGAAGAGGAACACGGCTAGAATCGCGGAACCGAGAGAGAGTAATGTTGACGGGGACATGGCGTGGGAGTATTCGAAAAGGGGTGATTTGGACGTTGAACTTTAGGAATGAAGGGGATGGTCAGGAGTAATTGGATCGTCGGGAGGTTTGACAAATTATGGGAGAAGCTAGTAGGAGCTCAACGGGGTGCTTTTTTTCGGGGGATATTCGACGACCGTTCGCCGCTTGCATGAAATGATGCAAGTGATGCTGGGTGTTGGAATCCACCAATTGTTTGGCTATATCATACAAATAGTGTTGGTTTATTCAGATTGAGACATCTTTAGGGGAGAGTGACCCCAATGGGTTGAATGGTGAGGATTGGAAAAAGGGATAAATAGTTGATTCGTCTCAGGGTCCTGAGTTGACGATCTCTAGAGCTCCATGTCTCCCGGACGCGGAGCTATCACCACGTGACTTACGGATTGAGTACATCGGAAGATAGTTCCAATTAAATTTCTAATTGTAGGAGATTAGTGTGATAAATCTTCCGAATTGTGGAATTTATTGATTTATCAGATGGATGTAGCTTATTTTATTTAAACGACCTCGAAAATCCAAGTACTAGTACGTTGGCTGGAAAATGATCATAATGCTGAGAATATATACTTGTACGAGATCTGCTCCGTTACTGTGGTTATATATATTAGTAAATTGGTAACATATACCAACATTTCTCACATTTGTACTGAAACGATACAGACTTACTTAGTAGCATCAGAAGAGCAACTAAAGCCTCATCATATTTACAAATGCACGGAGGAGCTCCTCCAAGCAAGTTTGATGAATGCAGCTAGCATTGCGCGTTCCATTACCAGCATTGCGTTCCGACGCCAATGACATCAAAAGTACCAAGTGCCTAATGTCAACCATAAGCTGACTCAAAAGTCAACATTAGTAATATTGATTATGCTTTTTACTGACTTCAATCATATCCATTTTCAGCAACAGCATACGTATCTCTCAACATCTCAGCTGTCACCTTCCTGATCCGTTTGACACGAATTAGTAAGTAAGCTCTATGCGCGGAATAGGAGATTATGGCCCCCACCAATCACATGAATGTCACAGAGCACTTGCATTGCAGGTCTCTCCGCGGACCCAGCCAACCTTCTAGAGTACTAGGATAAGGCTATCATCATGGATCCTTTCGCTCTTAGCCTGAACTGCTTACAAATTCCATGTCGATATACAAATCAAGGGACGACTAGAAGTATTTCTAGGGTGGTATTTGGAAAAGAGACATTGTCTCGGCTCGACGGCATCCAGAGACTGACTGTATCGGGCAAAGTACGGAGACCCCGCGGTTCTCCGGTCTCAAAAGAAGACCAGTCTAATTAGTAGTACTAGGTACAGCCAATAATGAGGAATGACACTATAATCAATATATTGATCGAGGATTCTAGTGATTCCTTGTCGGCTTCTAGTGGTTTTTTTCCGCGGATAGAGTCGGCAGTAGCAGGGGCCAGATTAGATAGAGACGTCATCACATGGCCATGGTTCAGCCCTCTCTTTCCTGGTTTTAATAATGGCCATCAACAAGTAGCTGGATCTAGATCCAGTGACTCTAGTCGCTAGAGATCGGTAGTATCCAGGAGGGTCAATGACAGACCGCAATTTAGCCCATGTTTGAACGTAGTTGAGTCTCGAGAGTACAGTCAGTAGTATGCAGTTCTCTCTACCAGTGGCTTCTAGAACTTCCTAAAGATGGATTGCACTAGCACGTGGGACAAGCAAGACTGCTTAACCTGGCAGAAACTCACGTCCTGTGCAATTCGGCCGGAGTGAGTCCAAACAGAAGGTGTTGGCTACGAAGGTTCGTGCAATATCCTATCATCTAAGTTCTCGGGTGCTGATAGCCGGTATTGTAGGGCTGAAAACCCGCGGACACACAGAGTCGGTTCACATGGCAATTGCTGCGCATCATGCCGCGGGCAGTGGCTATGAACTAGAAATTCATTGTCGAAAACAGCCATGGATATACCGCCGAGCATAGACTTTACGACGCAATCATGTTCAAACGACCAGTTTGAGACATGATGGTATCAATGTGCCGGACTTTCCCCCCGCGGGGTTCAAGAGCTCTCGAGTCTATTTGATAGTAAGATTATAAGTAACCATGAATCTGCCATGAAACGTAAACACAGACGTCGTGGCAATTCTCAGTCGGTCTAGGCAAATAGAGCAAGTAAGTTGAGCGACGATATCCGAGACCATCGGGCCACCGTTAGTCATGGAATATATGGCTTTGTGTAGGAATGGCGGTAAAAAGTGGATAGCATCAACCTGAGCGGACGGCAGGTACGGCGTCAACCAAAGACTGCAAGTGGTGTACCCACGGACCGATCTGACTTCCGTCGAGGACCTTACCGGGCAAGGGAATTGGGGGACAACGGCAGTCGCCGAAGTCCTGGGACCAGAATGGTGTAATTCCCGCTAAATCCTCATTTAGTGAGTGATTTAGCTGGTCCAGAGACCTTGGAGGAGAAAGGAGAGAAAATTCTGAGGCGCTAGTGCCATGGTGAAGAGTCATCGCATGGAGTCCGCCAAAGCTAACCATGAAAAGAGAGCCGGGCCGGTGGACAAGCCCCATTCGAGAAAAACGGGGGGTGCGGCGTACCGCTAGTCCACTACATACCCTCATCCACCTTTGGGAGGGGTTTCCGCGGAAAGACCCAATGGAAAGGGCGCAACGGTAAACATGGCCTTGCACCTTGCAAGAAAACGCTATAGCATTCGTAGTTGGCATCATTAATATGACCATTCACTGCTACTACGTACTACCTGTTTTGCAGCTGCATGAAATGGGTCCAAGCTTCTGCACATCCAAGCTGGGAGGGGTTTCATGAAGCCGTCACGGCACTAGTCCAGAAGATGGCGGTTAATAACGCAACCGCCGTGCGTGCTCAGGCAGGAGTAGTAGAAATCCCTCATCTAGACATCTCCTGCTGGGTGAAACTAGGCGATTGGCAAAAAGAAACCTAGCATGTATGGGGAATGTGATCATACTCTGTCGGAGTTGGTTTGTTATCGATCGCCATATAGCAAACAGATTCGTATTATAGAGCAAAGACTAGTCTGGATGGTGAGTTTCACGCAATTGGGGAATCATAACGGCAGTAAGGAGGATTCTGTGAGAGTGAAGAATGGTCACCGGATGCAATCTTCACGGTCTGATCATCAGTGTATTGCGCAATGGACCAAGATCTAGTGCATGCACCTGCGTCGGCGCTTCCCCAAGATTAACTTGATGTAGAAGAATTTAGGAGCATCAGCTGGAGGCGGCCCTTGCCGACACAGATATTAGCCTGATACAGTCAGTGTCAATTCTCTAACATCCCCATATATGACAGGCCAGCGATCATATAACATGAGCCGACCAGTACTTTGTAGATGAGGCTTGGCGGGTAACACTGAGGCTAAAATCCTGTATAGTAACATCCGAACTCGTGGCGTGATCGAATCGGCCATCCGTGGCCGTCAGTGACAAGATGTGCCGAAACTCTCAGGAAACCGGGACGGTCAAGCCGACAGCTGGAGGACCATCAGGGTGAAAAGTCGGCCAAGGTACCTGGATCGTCAGAGGTCAGACCGATCATTTCACATTGCGCATGCTGTCGTCCTGGCAGCTCAATGGGTGGTGGTGAAACTGTTAGGTAATGGGTATGGCGGCAATGGGTAGTCATTCGTCAGAACGTCAGAACTGTCCCTGGCCAAGTCACAACGCACGTTGCTTTAGTCTAGAACTTCAACATTAGTAGTGAATATCATATGTTAACTACATATTACTTTTTGGATAATATTTCCCAATTCAATTGTTGTTTTTCTCACGCAACCCTCATACTATCCTACGAGGCTAACTAACCACCACTTTCATCTACACCGACCGACCGGCAACTGCAGCCGGATGATGTGATGCCCCGCATAGAACGGAATTTTCAGCAGTGCGGGGAAAAAGGCGAACCTATCGCCTTGCAGTGAGCAACAACGGAATCTTCCTCCTGAGCAAAGGGGTCCCTGTTAGCGCCGTCAATACCATCGTGAGACTTGGCCAGGAATGGCAATAACGAGGAGAGCCTGCAGCCAGCTTCGTCATTCAGGTCCTCAGTGCCTGAGCCCGAGCCCTTGACAAGCCACTCAACCAAGTCTCATCGGAACAGGGTACCGCTGTACCGCGCGGGTGGAAGAGAAAAAAAAAAAGGCACATATCCTAATCAAGATTTTTATTTTCTCTTCGAATTTGCCCTTGACAATTTAGTCTCCTTTTTTTCTCCCTTTGGCCTTGTCGGGATGTGGAACCTGGCCGAGCTGTAACCTCAAGACTTAAGAGGCGCTGCAATGGAATAAAAACTCTGCAAAGAATTTTTTGGGATTATTTCCCAAAAGGTTCCCATTCCGTACGCAAAACATCTGGTTCTGATGGGGCTAGCGTCTTCCTCCGTCCGCGGATTCAGCGCCTCGTTGGCTTAAAAAGTGCAAGCGGCATCACGGATCCAGAGGATCTCCAATTAGTGTCGCAACGTGTTGCGGTATGGTAATGTATACCCGCGTCACGGTGCCGGTCACCGCTCGTACGCGCAAAACTTGCGCCAGACCGCCTTGCAACTGTTCAGAATTTCGGGCTCTCTCTGCCACTATATGACGCCACGTGATGGTTTGATGACGGCAGCTGACCTTCCTGAACGAGCAAAGAAAGCGCCCTTTTTGTCAGGTGTCGTTACGGGCTCAGGTCCCGGCTGCCGTCTTGGACGAATATTCGGTGCCGGAAACACTATGATGATTTGAGTGACTGACTTGTCATGCTTCTTTGTCTTCCATCTCTCCATTGCTCATCAGGCACCACATCAAGAATTGGCTCTCTACTAATGCTGTCAAGAGAGTACGTACTATGGTTGTCGTGGCAGGCCCTGGGCCCCCAACTATACAACGGCCCAATCAAATTGTGGCCTGACCTGGAGGGGAATACTGTCTAGAACCTTAGTCAGCCCCATTATCCTTGGTTCGGATCTCCAACAAAAGG